AGATTCATGTCAAAAATACCGAACTATCCCTTTAAGTGATGAGTTGATGTGTTGCTCTTCAATCAACCACATCCCTGAACACTCATGCTAAATTCTGCGTTGTTCTCGTTTCTGTTTTATTTTCATGTGGCTTCCACCTCTTGCAGATGTTGAAGAGATATTGTCAACTGATCTGGTACCTGGTGATGTGGTGGTCATTCCAAGCAATGGGACCATCATGCCATGCGACGCAGTGCTGGTCAGCGGCACCTGCATCGTCAATGAAAGCATGCTCACAGGTGAGACTGGAAAACCCGTCTGTAAACTGATGGTTAACATTGCAGTGTTTTTGTTTTGAGTTGCATTTGCTGCCAGTCAAATTAACAGTATACTATTTATCAGGTGAGAGTGTTCCTGTGACAAAGACCAACCTCCCTAACCCCGTACCAGGAGAGCGGGAGGGGGCGGACAGTGCCTACAACACAGAGGAGCATAAGAGACACACACTGTTTTGCGGCACCGACGTCATCCAAACCCGCTTCTACACAGGAGAACTGGTCAAAGCTGTGGTGGTCCGCACAGGTCAGCATTAAGGCCTGAATGTCTTTCTGGACGTTAGCATGGGAATAATATAAAGATGCATGTCAGTTTATTAGGAGTCAAAATGTTTCATTATTTCAGTAATTCGGTTTTAAAGGTTAAAATTTTAAGTAGGGATGCAAGTTATTGATAAATAAATACATTTAGGTAATTAATCCACTGATTAATTTATATATTATTTTGGATTTTATCAATTCATTGTGCCAGCTGTATTAAATACCAACTGAATAAACAAAAAAATGTTTTCTTGCAAATTACTCAAGAAAAATCTATAGGATATAACAAAATAGAAACCTAAGTTACTGATAAAATTATAAAATGTGTGAAACTTAAGCTCATAACTGAAGGAGTTAATAAAGTGTTAAAGGTGTAAATACAATTCATGTTTCTACTTCAGCATGTCTTAAATCTGGAATTAACTTCTCTTGCAAAACCACCAAGGCTCCACTTAAGAGTGAACAGCAGCACCACCTAGTGGATGGTTTTAGCATTACAATAATGAGATTTTATGCTTTGTTGATTCAATAAGATTAAAACTTGTTTCATCCGATTAATTGATAATTAAATTTTTTCCTCTATACCCCTAGTTTTTATATAGTATTCATTCATTACTCTCAGTAAGAAAAGTTCAAGGTTTGGACAGTCATAGGTGTCTTTAGCAATGACATAAGGATGTCATTGCTAAAGAAGATATATAAATATACATTTATCTTATTATTCTGATCTATTAAGATGTCTTTGTGCTAATTTAAAGTCTTTCGAAATGTATTTGCAACTAAAATTAAATGTAGTTTCACTGCTCATCATAGCAATAACTCAACATACAGGTGCTGGTCATAAAATTAGAATATCATGAAAAAGTAGATTGATTTCAGTAATTCCATTTAAAAAGTGAAACTTGTATATTATAT